ACGCCACTTGGTACTGGCACACCTGCCGGCTCCAAAATTCCGCGGCCTCCTCCTCCTTGCGCTGCTGCTCATTCTGCTGCTCAACGACGTCGCATTCGTACCACGTGTCTGTTGCCGCTCTACCTCCACGCTGCACGTAAATAATATCCCCCACCAACACTCATCGGAAACAGTTCCCTCAATGATTTAAAATGCACCTCGCCATTTACTCACTGGGCCGCTGCTGCGCCGCGCTGGCGGTAATGTTGTGAAGCGCATCCGCCGCTGCAAACCGCAGCCCAAACAAATTCCTCCCTCGCTGGGAATTCACAAAACAATAAACAAAGGAGGCCCCCAAGAGCAGAGCATTTTCGGGGGCCGCTCCCGCGCAGCTCCCCGCACGCTGCGTCCACCCTCTCAGCTTGGCAGCTCCTGCGGCGCCCACGTCTCTAAGCCCCTTACCAGGGACGCGACGCGACCCCGGGCCCGCCCGCAACACGCAGCGCCTTGCACGCCGTCCCTTTGGCGGCCGCGGTCCCGCGCAAGCCTCTCTCTCTTCTCTACGCCGCGCCCGCAAAAGGCCCTCCTCCCCCGTGCGGGAGGAAAGGGCACACGCTTTCAGGATCTTGAAGCAGAACCAAAAGCCCGCGGCAATGGCCAGTGGGGCTCCGCGGGGCCCACGACCTCCGCCAAAGAGTCCAATTTTTTTTGCTCGATGTGGTCACACGGCGGTGCGGTGCGAATGATCTCCCAACCGTGCTCCCCGCCCTCCCGCTCAACCTCCAGAGACCTCGGTAACGGATTCCCCGCACTCCGCAACTCATCGCCTTCCCGGGCACAGTCTTCCTCGGCAACCGGGGCGGTACTCGCCTGCAGGGCGCCGTCAACCGCCTCGGTGCGCTCACCGCACTCATCCTCATCGAGGATGCAGCTCGGCAGCGGCCCAAGAAAGCGCATGCGACCTTTAACCATCTCCCAGTACTCCTTTTGCTTCTCTGCGGGGCGATCACGCGTCCTCCACGCACACATCGCCTTCACATCGTCCTTGTCAGGGCTGCGCATGAAGAGGCGACGGGCACGCACTGTGCCCTCCCAGGCGTCGAAGTTACTTATGCGTGGGGGCGCCAGCACAACCATGTCCCATCCATCGAGCTGCAATCTCACCGACGGCGGTACCTCTTCCTCTGAAGCGTCATAGATCATATACCCCGTCCTCCGATACCAGGACAACCTTTCCAGGCGCCTTCTGATGTTGAACTCGCCCTCGTGCTCCGTCACCGTCTCCGTGGACTTGTCGAACACGTACGCCAACGCCGCCCCAAAGCAGTAGACAACCACCTGGAATTGCTCGGCGTCGTAGTGGAGCAGCCTGTAGAGGAGGTAGAAGCCAACGTTCATCGGTTTCCCTATCCCCTCTGCCCCAAGCAAAAAAAATGGTTTCGGGTGGGAAAAACGTGGCACATCTCTCACGAACATATCGTGAAGAGTCCCTTCGACGCTTTTCCACACTCGCTCCACTCCGGCGGTGACGTAGCAGTCGGTAGGAGCTGCCCCCTCCCGCAGCGAGTGCGGCCACCCCTGCGCGGAGGAGAGTACCATCAACCTGGGGCGCGGCGGGGAGAGTTGCTCTGCGGCGTTGTTTAGCACAAAGCGTGTGCCTCGAGGCTTGAACACCCACGACTGCGTTGGTCGTTGGCCCTCGTGCACCTCCATTCGCATCCCTCCGTCGCCCTCGGGAAACCCCAAGACGTGACTCCACCTCGCCATAAGCACCGAGCCGTAGAAGCCCTCCGGCAGCGGTCGTCTGGCCTTCTCCTCGTCCCGCGCAGCCCTCTCGTCGTCGTCCCGTCTTTCCTTTTCTTCCTCCGCCTCCGCAAGGGCCGCGTCGAGTTTTCTCAGTGCGGCAGGAGGGACGTCGCACAGCGTTCCAAGCTCTCTCCACTCGTGGAGGGTGCCCACCGCCTCCCCCTCAAGCTCGCATGCATAAAACAGAGCCTGGTACTCCGGCACATTATAAATCTTCTTGAGAAGCTTCTTGTCTTTCACGTACCCGCAAGGGTGACGAGCAACCACCCGCATCAAAGCACTGTTGCCTTCATTCACGTCTTCCTTGCGGCCAAGGAACTTCTGAAGGAACTCGTTCAACGTCATCTCGCCGATTGGCTCCTCTCCTTCCATCAGGACTTCCTGCACACGGCTGTCAAGGGTCCACTTTGGTCGCTGCGGTGCCGCCTCGGACCTTCGGCGCCGCGTTGCGGGTTCTGTGGGATCGCCATCATGTTGCGACCTCGCGTGACGCCGCCCCTGCGGCACATCAGACGCGGGGCTCTCCTCCGCAGCGGCAGCAGCAGCGTGAACTTCGTCCGCGCCTCGCCCAGACATTGTTTCCTCAATCAGTTCCCCTCGCAGTTATCGTTGGCTTGAGCCGCAGCCTGGACACCAGCCGCCAGCCAAAAGGAAAATGGGAGGGGAAAAGAGAGAGAGGCAAAAAATAGGCACACAAGCACGACCCCCACGCAGCCGCACAGCAAGAAAGAGAGAGAGAGAAGGCCAACCGCAGCGCGGCGCCACCCCGCAAGGAAAAAGAGAGTGAGCCACACAGTCCACTCTCCCTCCCTCCCCTTCTTCTCTTCCTGCAGCGGGCGCGGAAGGCGGCGCGGGGGTGGCGGGGCATCCTGCCGCCGTGGGGGTGGAAAAAGAAAGGGCCATTCCCGTGGGTTGACGTTTCTTCCGGCGAAGGAGGACGAGGAATTGGGGGGTGTTGGCGGCGCGGTCGGCATCGGCGTGAGGAAACAGGTCATGGGGCAGGCGTCACCTGTGGCGGACACTGCGCGGAGGCGAAAAGTGAGTCGCAGTGAATTGTTCCGGTGGATATGAAAAAAAAAGTCGACGTGGTAGAGTTTTAGTTCTTCTTTTGTTGTATTTTCCCCTTCTTTGTCTGTCTTTTTTCGTATGTATTTTTAATTTTTTTATCCTATGTTTTCTTAATTTTGTTTGTCCTAATTTTTTGTCTTGTTTTTTTTTTTATTGGTT